AGTGTAGTGCTCGGCTTTGCTAACACATACAGCGACGTTCCTTTATGGTGACGTTAGGAATAGCTATTGAAGCCTGGCAGAAGTGGTGGATTTGTTTGATGTACATAATGACATGCTAACACCCCTGTAATCCTTCCTGAGTTCACCGTTACTGACATTTAAAGCAATCCTAATGTGTTCCAGCCGAGAGGAGGTGGGGGCACAGTCGTTGTGTGTAAGTGGATGTGCTTTTCTTTTTTTCCTTTCCCTATGATTCTTTCCCCATGTTGATCAGATGTCAGCACCTGAAGCCCAGTGTGAGGCTGTTCTCCGCTCTGGCTACAAACACCTCATGCTAATACATCAGCCGCGTTGTTTGATACCAACACTGAGAGGTTCTGTGCATTTGAGGAGGAAAAAGTTAATTTGCATCACATTTCCATTACATTAGCATATCCGCCCGCGTTCCCACACTCACTCACTCATCAGCCTCATTTGCCGCTACCTGCTTCAGCACTTTCATGTTTATTCATCCCTCTGTCTCTAAGACCTATATCAGATAACAAATCTCTGTACCATTAGCACATTCAAATAAAATGCTAGTGAGACAGAAACGGCTAAAAGATTCAGGAAGAGATTATGGAAGAGAACGGACCATCATTACAGGCATCTTTGGCTGTTACCTGCATCCAGGTAAAGTGTTGTTTGTTGTACCCTTTGGTAGCTGCACCAAAGCATGTTTTAAAATACATACAATACAATATAACATACATAAAATAAGCTAGCTGGAGCTACGTGCTCAAAACAGGTCCCACATTGTGTGATTAATTCCTAAACTATAATGCCTAAGTTAGATAACCATCTGTCTGAAGAAGCATTTAGTGAATGTTCTTTCTTTAAAATCAACTCAAAAATGTGAAGTTTATCATAAAAGCTGTGCATCAATTGTTAAATCATTAACTGTTTATTACTTTATTATTAATAAGTACTTGTTGCTTGACATTAATCTCCTCCTGATGGTTTCTATGGAGAATGAGGGAGTCTGTCAGACATAGTAAAATAGAGGTGAGTATGATAGGTAGCACAACTGAAAAAGAGGAAAACGTTTTGACCACCTTCATCATAATACACCAACACAATCATGCAATTTAATGCACACACATGCACAGACGCTCACTCGCGGTTTGTTTGCAGACTTCTCTTCACAGTAATTGCAGTGACATTTATATTTGCACCTGAAGCCTGTCTGCCGGTTTCCATTACTTCCAGCCAGATTAAGAGAGAAGCAGACACGAGTGTATGGCTGATGATTGGAATGAACGCAAAACCAAATGTACCTGAAAGAGCTATTTTGAATCGAAGCCCAGTTCTCCTCCATCTGACAGGGTCACTCACACAGTCTGTGCTGCAGAAGAACGCCTTATACACCGCCCACGCATAAATACCCAGCAAGGCAGTATATGATATGGATGCAGCCAACAAACATTGAGCTCATGTTTCCACAGGTACACATACAGTCTCTAATCATCAATTCAAACTGTGAAATGTCTGCTTAGTGAAAAATAGCACCCATTTCCCTCCCACCCAATAATACTATTCCACGGTATCAGTTGCATCACTTATTTCTAACTGAAGTCCCAGATTTATAGGAAAAAGATGATTAGACCTTTCTACGTTACAAGGACGAATCTATCTGGACTGGGAATCTTGGCTCGGTTGAACCATCCATTTGTCATTATATATTTATCCAGCTTATTCACTGGTGGCTGTAGTTCAGTGAAGTGCACCGTGACCGAAACACCATTTTACTTCTTTGCCAACTGTGAATGGCATTATGCAGATCGTCAGCAGGAGTTAAAGGATTTGTCTCAACCGTTTCACCTGTCTGTGAAATGCACAGCTTTGCAAAACTGATAGTGAATCACAACACTATTAGTATTCGCTCCCGTCCTCACACTTCTTAATACATGAAGATTCCGGAACCCAGGGGGGGCCCTGAGAGACAGTTTCAGCAGGAAGGTGTTTGTCTGGACCCGTGTTTGTTTACACGACTGGGAGCTTAATCCTCCATCAGCAAACATCGCCATTCACAGAATTGTTCTCCCACATGGGTCAATTACAGCGAGGGGGTGAGTGCTGTCAAAGCAGGGCTTCCAGGCATTTTGGCTTTCAGGAAAAGTACAGTGCAGGGAAAAAGGAAATGAGTAGTTGGTCTATTTTGATACTAATGCATTCCTACTCTTCTTAAGGTTCTAGACTCCCCAGGATTCTATTTTTTTTGCCAGTCCACTGTATTTCCTCTAGTGACCAGAGCACTATGCATTAACACAAATAGAACAAATCTAATTTTCTGCACTATTGATCTTGACAATGGGGTACCAGTTCAGCATTAATTACAATCCCCATGCAGTACAACATGTATAATAGCAAAGCCGCTGGATCCTCACGTGACTTTCAATGGTTCAGTTTGCTGCACTTCTCTCCAGCGTGGCAGCTCATTCATTTAGCATTTTTTTATGTGCTACTATTATAATCTTGACCCCAGTGGATCTGTCGACTTTCTTGTAATGGAACTATTGGTTCATTTGTTGCTGGAAAATAAAACATAATTTCCTCCAACAACCCACTCATCTAATCAAGTCACCTCTACATATCCTATTCCTGTTATATTGATGTGCTATTTTAATGAAAATGAACACAGATATACTTTCTTCATTCAGCAAATTCACATTTTGTTATGCAACTTCAAGTTAAATGCATCCCCTTATTAATAATAATACTTTTTTTTTTATTGGAAAGTCAATATTATTTTGACCTGCTCAGGATAACTAAAAAAAACCTTTCTTATGCATATACAGCTTACTTACAGACTGACACTTATTGTATAGGATAAGGCAGACACTATGCATGCACATATTCCTCTAAATGTAATCTCTTCCTTGAATTTCCACCATGTGTTTTCCTCCATCACTTCAATCATGTCAATTCAAAGATCGTCAGAAGAATACATTTATTCACAACCATCCCTTAACCTGCCAAAGAGCTGATACAAAACACACATCCATTGATCTCTCATTTATTTAACCTGCTGTTTCACAGACATTCATTCAGTGAGTTTAAAAAGGCTCACAGTCATTGTCACTTTTAAAAGCAAACATTTGTCTAACTTAATAAACTGACGCTAGGTTCCTAGTTGTTAGAGATTATCCTTCATATCTGTTCTTTGATGTGTCAACTGTTGTTTTTCTTAACTCAGAGAGATAGCAGTGCAAGTTTAAATACATGCATTCACATCCACCGCTGCATCTTATTCACCTAATGAATGCATACGAGGAGTCATTAGACATAATGTGTGACCGGTGACAGCTTTTTACCATGACCTGGGATCAAAGCGTGGGTGTGCATGATGCTTCAGAACCACCAGTTTTCCACATGAAGAGGACTTTGTTTATGGTTGCCACTTAGACTCAGCTCCACTCAGTGATCCATCCCACACACAAACACCCACAGTACCTACTGTGTATTCTACAGGGACAGACTGACAGACTCACTCATAACGTCAGAAGTTTTTTTTTTTTACTACTAAATACTTTTCTTCTGAATTCACCCTTTTAGTCCAAATCCTGCTAGGATATCAGATATGATCACTCAAATTCAAATGTTTTAATCAAAATATAAGATGTCCTCTAGATGTCCATTCCACCCTGAAGGGAAACTCATTGGAGATCTGAGTGATATATATTTGACCCTATCACTGCCGATACAGAGTATACTGACTGAGCACCACCACTGACTAGCATGAACAGCAACATAGAGCTGATAGGCTGAGATAACAAGCAATGACAAGTGACTGTAGCAACACAATCGACATATTGCTGAGACAGTAAAGCAACATTTTCTATGTGCAGAACAATCCCCTTCTTCACAACACCTATCATAATTCTGATATGCCACATGATGCCTTATTAATTGATTATTATTTTTTTCCCATTTCAGGTGTATGTGTTCCTCCTTCCAGGGAGAACACCCATTGCTCTTTATTGTGTAAAACCACATTAAGTTACCTAATGACCTTTTCATCTCCTTTTTAGGTTGCTGCAGATATCAGAACCCTCAGTGAAATGCCTTTCTCTCTATCCTTCTCTATCCTTTTCTGAATCTTCTAAATTAATGATGTTTCCCTAAATGCCCCCAGTGACTTCACATCACTGGAAATGCACCCTTGCTTTTACCACAATTGTACATTTTTAAAATGCAATAATAATTTTTTTGTTTTCTCTTTCTTAAACAACATTAATCCCTTAATGACTACTTGGGGAAACATTTCTGAGATATGTGCACCTATTCAAGTGATCAAGACATGATTGGCCTCGCCCAGTACAAAAGGACTTCAATTTGAAATGGACTAGAGCCCAGCGCCAGCTGCTGACCAGATTAGCTCGTCAGATTGAATCCTGACACTGATGAACTTCTCCTTCTTCCCCTTCCCCACTCTAAACAAACACCCCCATCAAAACTACCCAAATCCCCCCTGTGGAAGTTGATTTTCTAACTCTTGTCTCTTTTACTAACAACAAGCTTCAGAATTCTTCCAATTTGATTCTTTTCATTGGTGAATTTTCTTTTCCCTTACCTTTTATGATTTCAAAAACTAACACTGTGTCATTCACGGAATGTGAACCATCTGTTGTTTTCTCTAATTAACTTGCGACTTACATACTAACAAATGTATTGTTATCCTTTTATTCCTTTCCTGTTATTTCATTTGGTAGATTACCCTAATTATATAATTGCTTTCTTTATTTCTTTATTTGGATGTTATACTATATAAATAATAGGACAAATATTTATTTGAAATCAATGAATATTAAATTCATATTTGTTAATGAAAAGAAAAGCTGGTTTCAAAAACGCAATTTTCTTTTTTTCTTTTCCACTTTTTTGGGGTTGAGGTGTGTTTTCTTAAGTTTAAAGTTGGTCATTTTATTTTTTCTTTCTCCTCCCCCTGTTTTCTCCTGAAGCACGCAGGCATTGGACACGCTATGGTAAACAAACTGCATTATATGGTAGATATCATTCTAATTGTCTTATACTTTGGTTTGCCCTGGGTTTTCCGTTACCTCTCTCTATTCTGTTTGCTTTACTGAAAGTGCAATCCGCCATCAATTCCAAGGTAGCTGAACAACTCCACCTCTCTGTTTTCTTTTAGCCCTCTCTATATGTTATTGCTTTTTATTGCCATCCAGTCCTCCCCTTCCTGAAAATATTTTACGTGTTCATCCAAAGAGGTCTGCCCAAAAATACAAAGATTTTACATTTATTTAGATTTGATTTATTTTGCTTTATTTTTTGACCCTTTTGATTTGTTTTATTTTGTTTTACTTCGAACAATATCCGTATGAAGAAATAAAGAATCATAATGCAAAAAATGTTTTCTCAATTGAGTATTAGAAAAGTTACCTTTTTACTTTGTTGTTAATCCCTGTCCCCTCCTGATTTATTTTCTTAGAATAACCCTATGAATAGAGCGTACACAGCAGATTTCTCAGGGACACAAAAAGCCTACTCGAGTAACTCCAGTGAGAGCAAGTAAACAGTAACTTTTCTAACAACACAAGAGAAACGCAATGATGATCTTCCTATCTTGGAATTGTTCACCGTTTAGTGACCTGTTATCTTAGTTGGCCATGCTGTTGTTTATGGAGTCATGAAGAGTATGTACAACCCTTGATTCAGAGGCCAAAGCTTTCACTATAAAGTATGCCTCAAATGAGGGTTTGATCCCATTAGTGGCCTTAGCTTGATTAATCAACCAGATGGGACTGTTCTTAGACCTGCACCTGCACACAGTGCTGGCCTTCCACACATGTGGGCACTAAATAAAGTGCTTTAATTTGTCATTAGACCCCTAATTGGGTGCAGAAATGTAATTCAAGAGTACTGAAGGCTCATAAATAAGAATAAAATGGCAAGTGCAAAAATCTGGTTGACTGATCTTAGTAGACATACTCAGCCTTACTTGCTTTCACTGGACGAATCAATATATGAAGCTGTCTGGCCATTGATGCAGACCATAACGAGAACTGCCTGAGAACATCTGAGCTGTGTGCGATCGACCCCTCATTAACACTAACACTAACTTATTTTATACTTTACTGGCCTCACCCCTTGCATGAAGAGACTTGAACCCTCTTCCCAATCTTGTTTTTTATATACAGATTGCATTGAGTATATATGTATATGTATATATCCTGGCTAACATATATACATACATATATCACATTTCCTAATATAATCAATACGGCCATGAAACATGTTAGCCACGCCCTCTTGCTGTTTTATTTATTTTATTTCACTTTATTTGTTTTTCCTTTTTTAACTTCAAATTAACTTACTAAAATGAATAACGACCTCACATATTTTCTTGCTGAAACAAAAAAAGGGAAAAGTAAAGAGGGGACACAGACATTCATTTTTCTGGGTGAATAGAGAATTGATGCCCCAAGCAATACATCTGCTAAATCCATCATAACACATGAGTTGGAGGAAAGTGTTATGAGTCTCTGTATCTAGTGACTCACTCAAGCTCAAATCTGACGAAAATGAGTATGCAATCTCAAGCTCACATCAGAAATGATGTGGGGGAATTCTAGTACAATCATGTACGGGTGCAGATTTCCTCCATATCTAACATGGAAAGTGATACTATGACACATCATGCCATTGGAATACAAATTGCTCTGTTCACCCAAATCAGGGATGTCCTTTCTCCCCTCTCAATTTTCTCTATTCTTTAAAAAAAAAAACCTCTCATTTCCATTAATTTCATCTGTGATTGGTCCCATCCTGTCCCTCTTCCACCTCCACACCTCCAGTATCCAGTGGTTGTGTCCCTGCATCTGATGTGCATGTGTCCATCTGTTAAAACGTCTTCCCATCAGCGTACTCACAGGAGAACTTGCTGCCCAAGCCCCAGCGCGTGTCAGTCTGTTGACCACGTGTCTATGGGTTTTTATTTCTGTTGCTTTCTTTTCTTAACCTTTACATTGAAACCTTTCTTTTCCCATTTGTCTGGTGTCGTGGTGCCCTGCAATTACATTTCCTTCCCTTCTAATTTCCCATGTTGCTGCATGGTGCCAGATGGTTTACTTGTTTTTTTATTTACTAGTGGGTCTGTTTTTGTTGTGTTTAATGGAATACTCCTCCCATCCGCACATTATCCCTGTCATCTCCCCAGTTAAGTGCATGGCTTGTGTGTCACCCTGTTAGCCTGGATGGATTCATTTTGTTTCCTCTTAACCAAAACAAACCCTTGCCCATGAAATAACACATTCAGTCCAAAGTTGGACCTGGTTTGAGCAATCAAATTTCAGAGGACTTTTAAAGAATCCTCACCTACTTATCACTGACTAAATTGACTAAAAAAGTGTTACTAATCTACTGTTTGAATCAAACCTTTGTTGTAACTGTACTAACAACCATTTTTGTGTCTGACTTTCCCTTACTTACAAAAGTACTAACCGATTTTGTTCACCCTCCAACCCTAACTATTTTCGACACACAACTAAAAACTCCCCCTCTTTCTCTCCCCCTCCCCTTGACAACTGTTGCCAAACAACACTTGCCTCAGGCCTCCCAACCCTCCCTCATTTACTAACCTAGATATGTAGCTCAGCTAAAACTACATATTCCATATTTAGCGTTGAAAGACAAACCCTCCTCATACAATAAATTACTCAAATACGCGTTGACAAGCTGCCAGACACCTACTGAAGTCCACTGCTGGATGAGAAGCTCCCTTTTCTATTACTCTTTTGAACATACTCCCCTCCTGCGGGTCTGGCTTTGACCTGAGCTAATGGGGGGGCAATGTGGTGCAAGGTGGTAATGTGTGATCTATTATGATACATGTGAGCGTTCAACTGTGTAATCTAAATATAACACATTGTTTCTCCCTGCAAAATATCAAATGTAGTGCCAACAAGGGTAAGTGATACATTTTCAAGGTAAGCTTGCTCTTCTCTGCAAGAATTACAATGTTGAATACATGAAGGTACTGATGGGTGTCTGTACCTGGACAGACTGTGCTGCATGACAAAAGTAGCTGACATAGAAACAAAAATCTCTTGCTAAAAATAAAAATGGGATGCTGGAAATCACGACTGCCTTTGGGAAATGAAGGTAGAACATTTTTGTATTCCTCAATGATGTGTGCACAAAGTGAGTCACACAAAGCTGAGAGTTGAAAGGGTAAAGCTTCATATACCGTAATGTGGGATGTGGAGAATTTCAGCTGCAAGACTTGCTTTGATCTTTCTCCTCAAACCCTCAATATCATCTGGGTTCATTGTGATGCTCTGCTTTATGGATAGCTGATGCACAGGACATGTTTTGCCTTCAGCTCCCTTTCCTTATGTTGTTTTAATATCCTATTCAGCACTAAAGTGGCAACCAGAATCCTGAAAATAAATAAAGACAATGGATGAGTTGGAAGATAGATGATAGTAGAGGATAGGCACTAGGAATTGTGTAAAATGATTTAACGGTGTTATTAACTTTTACGTGTGATATAAGTGTTGACAGTATTGTTCTAGTTGGAATCTTGTTGTTCTTTTATTATTTGACAAAATAGGGGTCTTCTTGTCGGATCGTTCAGTTGCCAAGAGCCTGCAGTCATGGAGCCAGTTATGGTCAATGAGGCTGTAACACGCTCAGCTGATCACACAGTAGGACACTACATGTGAAGCCCCATTACAAAAGCTTTGTCATTCTGTCGGTAGTTGTAGGTTTATGAGGAATAAGCATAACATAGAAAGATGGGATACATTTATATCATAACAGAGTAATATTTCCAACACTGGGCTAAATTGGAATGCTTCCCATATGGTTTCATGGCTGTGTCAATCCCTTTACAGTTAATCTATCTGTACACAGCTCCAGACTGTTTCCTGGGATATCTGGGGCACACAGTTCAGCACAGATCAGCCAGCTATGTTTGGTTTATGTTTGTACTCGGCTAGAGAGGTATTTGAAGAAATAAAAACAAGGAATCCAACAGAAGCGCCAGTGGGATTTGTGTGCTATGTGTGTTGCCTTATTGAGATAGCTTATTTTCAGCGTTGCTTCTTAGTTGTTTGAATCAGGTGTTGGTGTAAGCTCGAACCAGGCCATATTCTCAGAATTTGCAGCAAAGGTTTTTATTGTTATATTCTCAAAGCTGTATGGCTTCCAGGCCAGCAGCATCATGGTTTTTCTAGCAGCAACCTGGGATATTATCGCCCTTGTCCTCCTCTGGCCAGTGATGCAAGTGCCTGTAATATTACTCAATGAGATGAGTGTGCATTCTGAATTAAACAAAGTCTAGCTAGCTCTTGTGAATAATCACAAAGTCACCTCAGAGAAAACCCTTGGATATTTGTTCTGCTTTTGTTTATTTTTGACTATCAATGCATGTTCTTATTTTGGAACATTCTGGGTTTTGTATTGCCATTTTCTGATTACACAATGAATCAATGACTGTAATATGATTTCCCCAGGGATTAAAACCAATTTAAGTGGTGGAACCGGGATGGTGGAGATGGCAAGAGAAAGAACAATGAAAATAAAAATGCTTACCTCAAATTTCCCCTTTTTAGTTGGGAATTGTTTAGGTGTCTGGCAGCTAGCCAATCATAGTCCTGCATGGCCCCAATGAAAAATCAACAATAGTTCACAAAATATTCCCCCAAATCCAAAAAGCTTTGCTTGGCCCTAAAACATGTTAAGCACTTAAGTCCACATTTTCATTTCAGAAGATCTACAGGTAATATGACCATTTTACATCCTATCTCCTTATACGAGAAGAGGTCATGCCCCCCCTCCCTTGTATCTTCTCCTTAGCTTCTTGACACCATAGGACACATTAAGTTGCCCTGCTGAAAGCCCAATCTGAGATCTTCAAAGACGACCCCGACACACCAGCACGTTCAACCGCGGACTCCTCATGCCATATACATCTGACATATACGATAGGTCTTTATCCCCAAGTAGAAACAGCAGACATAAAAATGAGTTGCCCTGTTAAGAAGGGAAGTACAAAAAAACGAAAACAAAACTGTCAGGAAAAAGAGAAGACACGCACTTAGCTGGGGCGCCTGATCTGTTGAGTGCAGTTGCTACGGTTTCTGTTCAGCCTAAGAGTGTTTGATAAACCTCATATTGAGGCCTTTTTCTTGTTTTTCTTCTAGGATAAATGCTATTTTTGTAGATTATTATTGGTTAAAATGTGTCTTTGCTCAAAGCCTGCTGCTCTTAAAAGGTGCTCATCAGAACTACAGTCAAGGAAAGCAGTATCTCTAGATATAACGTGCAAAATAAAATTCACTCTTCATGTATTCTTTAAACCGCCATGGTCTGGTGTTGAATTTCAAACAGTTGCTTCAACTCATCATGTTAGGTCTTGTGTTACATCAGTGCCAGAGTAGTCCCCACACATGCTGATGTAATTTAGGTTAGAACTCCTTTTGATAGTCATATTCCAGTAATACAAGGGTACCGAGACTCAATTTTAGAGACATCAAAATACCATTTGAGCGAAAGAACAAAAATCCAATCTCACGGAAAAGCCTGGAGGATCCTCAAAAATGTACCCTTTATACACCTCTATTATTAAATTATTAATTTTTTATATTAAGTCTTCTTAAGTTTCAATCCACACTATCTCCTGCCATCAGCTTGCGGCTGTGTGTTTGATTCCTCCCGGCACTTTTCGCTCTGTTAGTGATCAAGCATGTAGCATAATGTGTAACCTTGCACAAAAGACAAGACTTCAGGCAATTAAACATTACAAAGGAGTTTATTTTTACTGGTAGTCCCTTAAAGCCCCTGTCACACTGTCCCGAAATTGACACCAGATGGACACACGATAAAGGAAATGTTCAAATTCGGCTCTGATCGTAACAACATCGGGCCATTCGTGAGGGCATCTTAAGCCATCGTATGACCGCCGGTGGAGTTTCTCAGGCTCCGGCAGCAACTTCGTGAGCGGTGGCACCATCTTTGGCATGCCAACAAATTGCAGAAGGACCTTGCGAAGGTTCAGTTTCATGTTGAATTTGTGTGTCCATTTTGCCCTTAGTAAGGCACTCATGAGGGCATCTTGTCAAATCGTGTCATCTTCATCTTTACTTCGTGTGATCATCGGTGCCATCGGGCATTTTTCGCCTCACGAAGACAATACGAAGGGAACAAGAATCTGCCCGATTGTCTTAGGAAGGCAACATGACTACGTGAAGCCCTCACAATGCCGTCGTATAGGCATCGTATTATAGTACGATGACATCGACATTGCATTTATTGCACAACCAAATCATGTAAACATATTATGTAAATAACCTAATTTGTGTTCTGTGAAACTGAAAAGGATATTACATTGTTTGTGTTACTTTCTTTGCAGTTGTATGTCTTTAATGTAATTTAGGTTAACTTCCTGTTTTATTTAGGTGCTTTTATTTTGAAGGCGAGTTTACGTTGTTGACAGGAAGTTGTTGTTGCTATGGAAACAACATGACAGAGATAAGTAATATCTTCTAATCTACATATAAAGACGGAGAAAGTAAAGAATAAAGTGTATGTTTAAATGTTAGCATCCCCCGAAGAAGCACAAGCTCTTACGTTGAGTCTGAAACATTCTAAATCATCAGTAACGTCTACGATCATATTTTCGTGTGTGGTTCGGGTGCCATCGTGTGGCCTTCTGTAGGCATCATACTTGCTTCGGCTGTTGCTTGGCTGTTGACCAAGTTCGGAGCCATCTTCGTGCGAAATTCACAATTCCACATTCGTGTGTCCATCTGGTGTCAATTTTGGGACAGTGTGACAGGGACTTAACTGAAATGGGGTTCAGCAAAGGGGTTTTACTGAGAAGCTATATCAATCACAGGGAAAGCCCTGTTGATATTTTTTAAATGATGTTACCTATAAGATCATGTTTTGTATACATGCTGCTATATAGATTTTGCACTTAATCTAGTATAGGATTACATTAAAGTATACTCTTGCAAATTAAATCACAATTCATGATTACACAGTGGGCACAGCGCTCATTCATTTTTGTTCTCTTAGCAACTGCACTCTAGAGTGAAAGCCCCCAGTCTGAGTGGCACTAAAAGCAACAAACCAATCGCTTCCATTTAGGGGACGACCCCGCCTAGCACCAGTGTTTAATCCACTTTCTTCCTTGTTTTTCCTCCACATTCTTCTAAATTCTCTCCATTCTCATCATCCTGTATATCTATCCATCTTTTCCTGCTCTCTATCTCTGCCTCTCTACCTCTCACTGTCTCTTTTGGGACATGCCTATGTCAGGTGACCATCTCAGTGGATGGTATACTGACCACCACTGGTTACACCCAGGAAGATTACACCATGTTGGGTTCAGATGACTTCTTCTACATCGGAGGGAGCCCCAACACCGCCGACCTGCCCGGATCACCAGTCAGCAACAACTTCATGGGCTGCCTTAGAGATGTGAGTTGATCTGAATGAATCAGTTTGTGATTGTATACTGTATGTAGCTGATCACACAGGCAACCATGCCCACACTGTTCTTTTACTTTCTCTCTGCCTCATGCTAGCAGGTTGCTTGCTGTTGAAAATTGTTGCAACTGCACCAGCCCACATTAAATTGTGATTAAATCAGTTTGTGTCTTTACACTTTTGGTAATGAAAAATGAGATCATCAACATCACAACGTTGCAGTGAGAACAAACAGCTTGTTTGGCCGTGCATCATCCTCACACATACTGAAACACATTGGTGTTGACTCTAACACCTGAGCATCATCATTCTGGGCAGACAGTATTTGAGCGTAGGACGTGTGAGACATCATGAATCCCTTTCAAGTGTTTGTTATTACTCCTCCAAACCACACTGCAGACCAAACAAATCCACAGGCATTGATTGCACACATCACAGTGGGATATCGGAAAATCACAAAGTTCCAGATTTATACTCATGGCATGGAAGAGTACACATAGTAATACACATTCGCAATGTAGAGGACAGTTGCTCTATAAACAACTTTATTTCTTCAGGTTTGAAAAAAAAGTGACTTTTATTTTCACCAGAGTATTAAATTATAATTTAACAAGCTGTCAAGAGGACCAATCACAGCTTAAAGTATTATGCCCTTGTAAATGTAATGACTTGTATAGAGGCGACGCAACATGGTGCCATCGCATATCCTCATAAAACCACGCTGATTGAATAAGTAATTACTTCTGCCATCACTTTTAATGGATCGCACAGTAATCGCCCTATCTCTAACTTAATTATGCCTGTAGAATTACATTTTCATTATTTGGGTTGCTATCAGAAGGATCCCTAGTGGGTCTTAAACTTCCCAAGGCGTTTAACTATCCTCTCCCATCAAGACAGGGCTGGATTTACAGTCAACGTACAGACGGGCAAAAGGGAGGGGAGGGGGTTTCAACGGTAGGAAAACAGACTATAGTGAGTGCTCACAACAACAAATAGAGGTGAAAGTGAAGAGGGAAAATTAGTCAAGTGTTGGAAATGGAAAGTCGGAGCAGATGGTTGGAGAGAAGAGCATTTGAGTAGCTGTTGTCAGACTGAGTGATGAACCAATAAATAGCTAAGCGAGGGGGGATGCAAATAAGGAAGAACTAGCCGGAAGTACGCGTTTAAAAGAGGACATTGTCTTAGGATATAAAGTAATTTCGTTTATTAGCAACACTTTTAAATGGATTGCAGTCAAAGGTTATACAAATGGAATATTTTGAGGTGATTAAGATTTTATTGAGCTGGAAGGGAACATCTCTATAAAAAAGACATCAGACATATGACATTTATGCTTGACCTTGTGCCAAGGGCTGTGTACTCCGGTCTGGGTCAGTACTGCAAAACATGGCAAACAAAGTTATTAAATCAAGTATGGAAATCTTAAATATCTGGTTTCCTCAAACCTAGAGAGGCAGTTTGCTCTATAGATGTATACATTAATCAAATGTATTTGTTTACTGTTGATTTAAGTGCAGAGTATGTCCATGTGTGTGTATCCAACATGAACAGCCTTTACAGTGTTTGATCCACACCTCTCAAGCTGGAACTTCCCAGTTCATTTCCTGGTGTTTGTGTTTTATGGTTTTAACCTTTCAGCAGCGCTCAAGCTCTAATGGCTTTCCTACAAAGGTAACCACGTAGAAAGGCACTGAGAAAACCTGCAATGAGATTAACTGAGAGCGCCAGGTAAAGTAGTACAGTAGTAGCTGAAAATAAAGTGAGTGTCTGGGGGTTAGGCGGCGGTGTGTTTCATCCTGTGCTAGTTCTGTGGCACAGCTCGGATTATCAGTGGCGTTATGGTCCTGGGCAGAGCTTTCATGCCGCCACCGTGGTCAAACGCCTTTGATACGCTTGGCCAGTGCCCTCCAGGCAGAAAAGGAAGCGCACAGCAAAGGAAGAGTAAAAAGGCACCAAAAGAGGCACTGAAGCCATATGAAGTTTTTTTTTTACATAGACTGTGTGTGTGTGTGTGTGTGTGTGTGTGTGTGTGTGTGTGTGTGTGTGTGTGTGTGTGTGTGTGTGTGTGTGTGCGTGCGTGCGTGCGTGCGTGCGTGTGTGTGAACGTTCAAAGTCACCCACATGCTATGATCATACCCAGTGTGATGTATGTGTGTGTTTGCTGGGCTCACAGTTAGAGTGCTGTGGTGTGAAATTAGGTTTCTTTACTCCTCAGCCCCCAAGCCTTGATTCCTCTCTTCTTATGTACATGGCCATCTGTCTCACCACCGCAACCTCCGCCTCTTTATCTCTCAACCAGACAGTGACCTTGCTATCGCCCATTTCACACATCTCCCTCCCATCTCTCTCTCAGTCCCCCTCCCCTCCTCCCATGTCTCTCAGCACCTCTCTCCACCTCTCTCTTCCTCTCATCTTCCCTTTCTCTGGGGCACTTTTGTGTAATTAAGGCCACAGTAGTGATGTTGGCACGCCATCTTTGCCATCCTGACGGCCAAATTAAAAATTGATTTCTTCGACTGACTCCATGCCCTGGGTGAATGCTCTGGCCCTCCTCTCTCTTCCACTTTCTCCCCTGCTCTATCTCTTCGTATTCTGGTCTCACCATTTTTGCACGATAAAATCTTCTAGTGTTGTCCATTGCCCCACCTCACACCCCACCTACCACGATTAAACCATCATTTGGGACTAGATAGTCTGAAGTGTGCTGCTGCAAAGCCTTTTCCAGCTGGGCTTCCTTATCACTAAGGGACAAGCAATGCATGCAACCAATAGTCATGCTATGACTGCCAGTAAATGCCACTTAACTGAATATAAATATAGAAGCAGGCTCAAACTATGCATGTTGGCTCATCGAACATTCACAACCTAAGCAGTGTTAGGTTTGCAAAGTTTCACAAATCAATGGAGTCACCCATGAGGCAGGCTGTGGCCCGTGTCAGAGCTGCTCACACTCTGACTTGTGTAAGATCACTGAAGTCAATCCAAGTCAAAAACACCTTGTGGCTCTCTTACCCGAGTCAATAATTCAGAAGAAGGGAGGTTACAAAAACCCTGTTGCTGGACATTATTATCGCTGCTCAATATTTCAAAGTTTGTGAGACCTTTGACAGTGGTCTTTTAATCAGTGGACAAAGCTGGCCAGTTTCATTGCAGCAGGCAATGTGGCTTATTATATAAGATGTCCATACCTGCTTTCCCAATTCTAAAGAGCACATATTTCTAGTATCTGTTTAAAGCCAGACACCCTGAAATATTTGACGATATGAAAGAAAGGCATTGAGTATAGGTGCTGAGTCAGCAGATGCATTCATATATTCATACATAATCTGAGGTCTTTGCATTCTATCTTATTTGATACAGCGTTCAGATTTTGCCCTGTGTGTCTCACACACTTTGGTTATCCCATGCATCACTCTGCCCCTCTGTTACCCTCATCTTTCTCTCATTTGTCATTCACCACCATCTTCCTCTTGTCCCTCTGCTGTAAACCCCTCCCTTGTATTCTCATGTACTTTCTGCAGTCTGATCTTGCTTGTTGTTTCCCTTGCCTACACCTATGCTTTTGCTGAAGATCACATACTATCAATAGCCGATAATAGCATAAGTTACAGAAAGCTAATTCCTTATAGCTCAGATTTGTGTCACCCTGTACAAAATCCTTCCGACATTAGTAATCTTGACAGCACTGACATATCAAAAGCAGGAAGGTGATCTCATCTCTGCCTAATCATGTACTTTGAGCACATTCACGACTAAAAGACCACATCCCAGAGGAGTGCATTGTTTGCTGTTATTTGGTATGTCAATGATGTCATATCATGCTATTACATTTAGCTTGATTATGTTCTCAGTTGACCTTTTTAGGTTAGTAACATGTAGTGAGGGTAATGCTAAGGGAAAGCTAATGTTGTTTGTAACATTGACAAACCTATTATCGCAAAATTAGAATCTTTTACTATTAATTTACAATTGCAGTTTTGATGATAGGTCAGAGTCAACAAGATTAACGATCTTCTGGAAACACAAATACCACAGCAAATATAATGTTAGTTTGTTTTTAATATCTTAAATAATAATATATGGGCATTTTGACATAATGAAGAATTGAGCCCTTGTGGACTGATTTCCATACTTAAATGAAATGTCCTTATTTAGATCAACATGCATTGCTCCCTCTGTGTACAAATACAGTATGTATGTTTGATGTGGTTGTGAATACTGGGAACAAGTTATACACCTTAACCCCACTATATATAACATATAAATTATTAATCGTGGCAACCTAACACTAGATTAGATTTAGGTTGAAGTATAAAATTAGTCATTAGAGCCACATTGTAGATATAACAGGCCTGAACATCATCTGCTGTATAATGTTGCCAGCTTTATGTCCTGCTTCTTTTCCTTACATGCTGTATGATATGTCCTAACCCTAACCCAGGCTGTCTATTCTGAATAAACAGAGCAGCATGGATAAACTAAAATAAATAACTCAAAATGAATATAATTTGTTTCCCTTCTGCCACTGCATTTTCTCTCTTTCACCTACCCATCTCTTTTTCTAACAACATATGCCAGGAGAGCTCACGCCTTATTAGCTGTCAGTTGTAGCGTTATCCAGACTAATTACCAGGACTAATCTCCACTAATGGCAACATTATGAGGTGTACAGTACATGTGGCAGCGTGGCCAAAGAAGGAGATAACCAAAGAAGGCTTACATTCAGGAATAACCCAGCACATATGTGTTGCTGTGGTTCATCCTGTGCCTGAGTGTAGGAGTAGTGTTTATGAAGATGTTGAGAGAAAGTGTGTGCACGCATGGAAAAAATAGGTCAGATTTGAGGGTGTTTGGATGAAAGACAATGAGGAATGACAGCAGCAGTCTGGTAAAATTAGATAGTCAAAACCCAAGAGTGAACCACATTGCACGGGACAAGTCTTGAGTGTGCAAATATGATATTGGGCTAATGCAAATCAAAGCCAATGGAGACTTAATACACATGGTTGAACAGAGGTTTACACTACTGATCAAACTAGCTATGATATATAGCTATCTATTGTTCACACCACAAGTGTTGCCCAATTTCACAATTGACATATAATGTTGATAAAACATTTTGAAACGTCAAATATGTAGATGTGTCATTGTCTACCATGAGGAATAGATGTAAATGGCTATGCTGAAGATAATAAATCGATGAAACACTGTATGGTATGCATTTAAAAGAGTGAGTGATTATATCAGTTCACAGTTTGTAGTTAGTGGGCAAAAGCATCGAACACCACTGACATGGCTAAAGGACAAGTGTTAACACAATGAGCAGTTGGCCCTCCTGTCTTTACTCTGACAATTGCCAGAACATGCCTGCTGCCGGGATCATCCCTGATGCTTTACAGCAGCAGGACGATTTCCTTAACCTCGTAGCTGCGACAACAACACAAAACAAAAAAGGAGAAAAATAGTGCCTTCTCTACATTCCCTTTACCTGTCAGGGAGAGTTTGTGGGGGTGAGAGGGAGCGTGAAGAGCCCTCAAATCATGGGGGGAAACTCACACAGAAAAATACAAAGACCTCAACTGCTTCACACTATTACCTTGAGGACGGCCTTGCAAATAGCTGTCTACAGAGTGTTCAACAAATAAAAGGAGAACTGAAACAATGAAGACAAGGATAATTTACTTTGCCGCTAGCACTTAATCCATTATGAATGCATATAGTGAGACATAAAAACAGCCTTTGAGCTGAAACAATAGAGCCGCATTTCATCAAAGGCATTTGGAGACATTTACATTAAGGCCGCAGGCAACATTTATTTCTCCATGCGTCTCACTTTACCCTGGAGCCATTTAAGTTACATCCATTGACTGTGCTTATACACATACTGATATGAGCTGCTCTTATTGTACCAAAACAAATAGTTTGTGTGCTTTACGGATTTGAACGGGAGCTTATAAAGTGGGCTTCAGAGCTTGATGCACAAACACACACACGGATGTCAGTAGCATCAATGGAAGCATGCCCCGGGCAACTCATTGGCACTAAGTGGTTGTGCACCGTTTTGAAATCATTCAAAGTGAAAAAAAGGATTGCACATAACATCAGTTATCTTAACAGTCTTTAGGATCTGTATTTATTCAGAGATAGTTAAACTGTGTTTGTTTCATGTTGTGTGCTTGTCTCCAAATATTCAAGAAAAAGTAATGTTCAACACTCACATCTTTAATTTCACGCTGCTGACAAGATTTCCCAGCAGCCACTATCATGACACTTGAAATTAATTTGGGCAATTAGGGTACATCTGTGGGATCTCAGGATTATGGAAGCAATGTTCACTGTTGCATCTGCATTTTTTTGAGTCCATTTTTAAATAATTATCCAATTCTAGATTCCTATTTGAAGCCACAGAAACTTGTAACTACACATTTGTTATACAGCATTCTAAACTGGTAAGCACTTGCTCTCCTCTCTGCTCTCCAGGTGGTGTACAAAAACAATGACTTCAAGCTGGAGCTGTCACGGCTGGCCATCGATCGAGACCCTAAAATCAGCCTTAATGGCGACTTGGTGTTTCGCTGTGAGGACGTGGCCGCCCTGGACCCCGTCACCTTTGAGACCCCCGAGTCCTTCATCTCCCTGCCCAAATGGAACGCCAAAAAGATGGGATCTATCTCCTTCGATTTCCGCACTACGGAGCCCAGCGGGCTCTTGCTGTTCAGCCACGGCCGTCCTCAGGGTCCCAAAGAGCAGAAGCCTGGTCGGGAGCTGAAGACTGATTACTTCGCCATGGAGCTGCTGGAGGGGTATTTGTACCTGCTGATCGATATGGGCTCTGGAGAAACAAAGCTGAGGGCCAGCAACAAGAAGGTTAATGACGGAGAGTGGTGCCATGTGGATTTCCAGAGGGAAGGGAGGAAAGGTGAGGGGTGGTTTAAACTTGTCATGTTGAAACTGACAACTGATCTTACATTTTGCTGTGCATGTGCAAACTTTAAATGCAACTTTTTTAACTGAGTTAACATTCACATTTATCATTCACATTTTATAGCCAATCCATTTCTTATTATTCACATCAAGAAGTATTTTCGTGTCAGACAGATATTTGTCACCCAACATTATTTATCATATACAATAATAAACTTGTTTTGAATTAAAAAAAAAACACCTTAAGGTGCTGTTTGACTGTAGCAAACAGCACCTTAAGGTGATGTGATCATCCTTCATGAGAACTATGCTGGTTAAAAAAGATAAAATACAAATAAAATTCACTCATTTACCAATCTTCTGCTATTTGGTCATTATGTTTATTGTTTATATAATTGAATAGAATTAGGAGGGATGAAACTCTCTTTAATGGTCACACATGCAGAGCACACAGCACACACAGCCTCTGCATTTAAAGTGGACCTATCATGCTATATTTGAATAATATAGTGTAGGACCATACCTATATAAGGCATATTTATACTTTTTATTTTTCAAAATACCAAACAGATCATGCATTTTAGCCATTCCTCATTTCGCTCAATTTAACACTGTCTTTGCATGGGCTGATTCTGTGAGAACAGCACCATCTACAGGCCTGGCATATATACTACAGCTGTGACGTCACAGAAGTGTTCAAATCTGGATCAGTCTGTATCAGATCCGTTGCAGCCCCTTTTTAAGAGATTTGGGTATGGAGGAAAATAGAGAGAGTTGTGTTTTCTGACACTTGGTGAGTTCCCTGGAACACCGGGGACACATATTCATGTATAAAAGATGTACAAAAGTGCATTTTGCATGATAGGTCACCTTTAACCTATCCTAGTACCAGGAGTGTAGTACTAGGAGCAGTGGGCAGCTATTGTACTGCGCCCGGGGAGCAATGGGAGTGGGGGGGAAGGGGGTTTTCCGCTGCCTTGCTCAAGGGCACCACGGCAGGGCAGGAGGTGAACTGGGACCTCTCCAAATAGCAGTCCACACTCTATATTTAGGTCTGTTCGGGGACATGAACCGGCGACCCTACGGCTCCCAGTTCAAGCCCCTACTGACTGAGCCACTGCCGTACCTGTTACATCAAACAACGTTTTGTTGTCATTTTATTGTACATCAATACAATTCCTCACTCACATTCCCAACGGAAATTGGCTTTAGTTGAAACTTTACAATTACGGCTAAATATATATACATGTNCAATTGTGACATCACTTACCCGACTCTGGGATTTGTAGTCTTTCTAGTTGCATATTTTTCATAGTCTTATATTTCAACAGTTTTACGACAAACTGTGACAGTCACAGTTTGTCGTAAAACTGTTGAAATATAAGACTATGAAAAATATGCAACTAGAAAGACTACAAATCCCAGAGTCGGGTAAGTGATGTCACAATTGTTTTCCTCCGCTAAATATAAGAGATAGCTAAGATAAGATAACTTTAACAAGATGCCTGTGTGCTTAGTACCACGTTGTTATCATACCAGCAATGGGTCTTGCTCGTTATTTCACTTCCCGTCTGATGAAAGGACCAGGAGTGGCTGGATCAAGTTAGCTACCTAGCTAGTAGCTAGCACGTTAGTTAGCATTACAGCCTTAGCCTTGTCATTTGTATTAGCCTTAACATGAAGTAACATTAAGAAACCCAAAATATTAAACAGTAAGAGTAGTAGTCATATTTCGTGAACCCTTTGAAGAGTACTGTCACACCGGTGTGATCATTCTATAATACACCATTTAAGCCCGGGGGAGAAATGCTAACGCTAACGCTACATTAGCATTGGGAATCTTTTATACTTCATGCTATCTGCACAAATGGTTGACATTAAACATTAAAAAGATCAGGCAGTTCAGAGAGAATCAAAGGAAGGCAGGCAGGCAGCTTTGCATGACATTCTTCTGGACGTGTTTCATTGTGGTGATAGTAAGGGTAGTCAATCCCTTGTTTAGCAAGACAGTAGTGACGGCCATCTTGATGACGTGTGTTGTTGTGCAAGACCAGAGATGTAGTTTATTGATCGTTTCACACAAAAACATGTGTTACTTCACAGTTTTACGACAAATTTTTTTTTTTGACTGGCAAAATTATCTTTTAAATTGACAAACATCATATGTGTAATTTGTGGCACAATTCAAACGGGATCGAAAGATAATCTTTCNGAAGTAAATATAAGACTTTCTTCCGCAGTATTTCGTCAAATTATGATATAAATATATGATTTTCGAGTTCCAGACACTACAATGAGACTCGCGAGTCGGAATTTTGCTTTTGAAAAGACTCGGTTTGATTTATTGATTATAATTTATTAGCATTTGCAAGCTACAATTAGGTAGCGGAACTCCTTTAGCTCCCCGTCGGGCTCATTTTTGACTCATTGATTTTCTATTAGTTGCACTTTGAGGTGAAAGTAATGCTGTAATTGGTGGCAAGAGAAAAATATAACGTTGCAAACGACTGTTATCAGTGACAGATTGTATACGTTACTGGCCGCAATACAGGACGCGGACAAGGACTTGAAATCCTCTTAGACCGTTTTGTCGTGTTTGTCTGTGTCAATGCACTCTATTTGAGGGTGTGACCTACACCTAAATCACAATAAAGAAACGGCTGACTCACACTTTACTTCTGTTGCTGATTGGCTAATGGTTACACAAGCCAAAACATCGTTATGACATCATAAAGTGACCAAAATCTGATCAGCTCATTTTCAGACAGGTTTTTATAGAAATGGATCAGGACAAAAAGAGAGAGAATCTTTGTTCCTGAAACTTTCAGAGTCTCTTTCTACAGAGGGGACACATGTTGATGTAGAAGAGACATGAAGAAGAGGGGACACATGTTGATGTAGAAGAGACATGAAGAAGAGGGGACACATGTTGATGTAGAAGAGACATGAAGAAGGAGGGGACACATGTTGATGTAGAAGAGACATGGAGAAGAGGGGACACATGTTGATGTAGAAGAGACATGAAGAAGAGGGGACACATGTTGATGTAGAAGAGACATGAAGAAGAGGGGACACATGTTGATGTAGAAGAGACATGAAGAAGAGGGGACACATGTTGATGTAGAAGAGACATGAAGAAGAGGGGACACATGTTGATGTAGAAGAGACATGAAGAAGTGGATTTCCAGTCTCTCTTACCGTTGGAGCAGGGCGTGGAGGAGCAGTGGTCGATCTTCTTCTCGCAGGTGAACCCGGCGTACCCTGTGGGGCACTGGCAGAAGTATCCTCCGTCGGGGTTGTCGGCACAGCGGCCGTCGTTGGAGCACGGCCCGTCGGCACACGTCATGGCACTCAGCTCGCAGTTTTTCCCATAAAAACCGTGAGGGCAGGTGCAGGTATACATGTTTTCCAAATCCTGCGAGGGGAAGAAATAGAAACAGGTTCGGCATCAAGGTCTGTCTTTGGCAGCTGCTGAATCTTTTTGTATCTCAACATCTGTGAGATTCCCATTCGGCGAAGTTGAAACTAATATGTTTTATTTAAACTTATTGCTTTCAACTAACCTAATTACAGTTTTGTGAAATCTGTTGACATAATACATTTAATTAAAGTCAACCTTTCAGTGTAAATGTGTCTTTCTGCAGAACAACTACTTCTGGTACTTAAAATATATTTTGATGCTAATCCTTTTAAATCTAAGAACACATTTCAATGCATGACTTTGACTTGTAACTGAGTATTGTTACACTGTGGAATTGCTACTTTACTTATAATCTGAATACTTCTTCCACCTACTGAGCCCCAGCTTGCACGATGTCTCGATCCTCCCTACTCATTTTTTTTTGAAAGAAGACCAAACACTTACGGCACAGCTTCCTCCGTTGCGACAGGGGTTCCCGGCACATTCGTTGACCTGCATCTCACAGCTGGACCCAGTGAAGCCCGGTCTGCAGGAACAGGTGTAGCTTCCCTGACCCGTGTTGCTACAAGTGGCTCCATTCATGCACGGCCTGTGGTGGGTGCAGTAGTTGAGATCTGGAGAGACACATGTGGATTAGCCACAGCTCAACACATGGCAGAACAACAGCAGCAGCAACAGAATGTGTTTTGTCCTCCGGCACACTTGACTTTTTCTCTTCTTCCAGTGGTTTTTTGTTTCCTTTTGAGCCCTCCCTGCTGTCCCTGCTGTTCCTGCTGTTCACGCAGAGACAACTGCTGCTCTGTTGTGGCTTCTGCACCACAGTGGTGAGGCTGTTATGTTGCTATTTTGATCTTCTTCAATTTCTTTTTGTCTTTACGAGACTTTGAAATGTTGCTAAACAGTCCTTGGCCGGAGAGGAAAGGTCCTGAGCAGAACTACCCTAGATAAACTCGGCATATAAATCTAAACGCTCTTTTCCTAATGAGTATTGCTTAAACTCTGACACAGATGTGGTTTCTAGGGAAAAGTTGGGCTACATTTGGTTTAAACGTCACTTTTTCTTTGGACATATAGTTTCTGTTTAATCAGCTTTTCAATTAACAATCTTCCAAATGTAGTTAGGGTCTTTTTGTTTATATATCCATTGAAGTGCTGTTGATGTCGGCGATGACACACAGCAAAGATCCTGAGCTGAACTATAAAACTCTGCATCTATACACTTTTCTGCACTTTCGAGTCCCGGCTCTCTTCACATTAAGCATGGCTTAGGTTATTGGCAATTGATATAAACAAAGACACAGATGTGTTGATTTGCGAGATTTGGCTAAAGTTGGTTTAAAAGTCACTTTTATGGATTTATAAATTCTGTTTAAATCGCTTTTCAACCCCCATTCTTCCAAAGGGTCTTTTTCTTGTTTAACCTTAACTTTCTAACCTAACACTTTTTGATCAACAAAATTCCCCAATTGATATAAATCTAGACACAGATGTAGTGGATTGGCGAGGATTTAGTTTGGACATATTGTTTAAACAACTTTTCAATCTGCATTCTTCCAAATGTAGTTAGGGAATGCTCTTATTTATACATCCATCAACATGCTGGTGATTAAGGACTTTCAGGTAACCACAACTTTCACTTTTTAACCCAACTTCACACTTTTCCATCAGCAAATCACCGTATCAGTGCTCTCTGCTTCCTTTCCTTTCTCTCTTTCCTCCTCACTCCCCCCACGCTCTCATCTCATCCTCACCTTGGTTGCAGAAGAGCCCCCCCCAGCCCTCCTGACAGTTGCACTGCCACGGCTGCTGGCAGGTCCCATGGAGGCAGCCCGGATAGCGGATGCACTCGTCGCAGTAGCGGCCTTTGAATCCCACTCTGCACCTGTTGTCCAATTAGGAGGGAAACGCCGGTCAGAACACTCACATTACTTCATGTGTCCCACTAATTCATGAATGCCCCAGTGAACAGGAGAAACAACGTACTTGCACTCTCCGGGTTTCTCACAGAAGCCGTGCTCTTCATCGCAGCCTGGCAGGCAGATTGCTGTGGAAGAGAAAGAGAGAAACTGTTTGGATATTTGTTTGGTTTTTATATAAATCTCAAGAAAGTCATTACAAATCAAGGACAGGGAGGTGCTCTGAAAAAACTGAAATGCTGACGTATATATATATTTGCTTTCAACTAACCTAATACAGTTTTGTGAAATCTATTGACACAATACATTTAATTAAAGTCACCGTTTCAGGTTGTTCAGTGTAAACCCATTAGCTGATACCTTAAACTCCTTATCACCGTGGAAGAATGTTCTGCTTAACATAGTGCTGAGACAAAGGAGGGAGTGTGTGAACGTGTGTGTGCCACAGAGTCTACACACACACACACACACAGCCCACCCCACCACCCTCTTTTTTTTTTCTTCTTCTTCGCTGCGGGTCAAAACTCTTTTATTCATTCTGTACACACACACACACACACACACACACACACACACACACACACACACACACACACACACACACACACACACACACACACACACACCTACTCTCTCTCTCTCTCTCTCACACACACACACACACACACACACACACACACACACACACACACACACACACACACACACACACACACACACACACACACACACACACACACACACACACACACACACACACACACACACACACACACCTCACCTTTTTCTGAATTAACCTCACTAACACATGATTGTTGAATCATCCTTTCATCTCATCAATTGAATCTAAGTACACAGTTAGCTACAAAATGTGTTTGCTACAACTAGCTGATGTATAAAACACAATAAGACATACTGTGCAGCAGTGAGACATTACGTGCTATATCATGTTCATGATCACATGAATTAAGAATTACCTTCACCAGTTTGTGTTTGGATAATCATGTGGGGAAAAGGTTGTTGGGAAGTCTGTGTGCCAGAGCTTACAAAGGCAAAGGCTCATGTTGAACACATAACAACGTGGACTCTTTCATAAAAAAAAAAGATTTGGGAGGGGGATGGACATAGAGGACAAACAGATATTCAAGGCCGCCAGAGGGATGGAAGTATTCATGTGTGTTTTATCCTGCCATAAAGTAAGGAAAGTGTGGGAGGAAAGAAAGTGTCATTGGGGAAATGCTTTGGATTTTCAGCGAGAGAGGGGGAGTGATGATTGAGGGAATGCAAAAAGAGACATTCAGCAAGAGAGATGGTGATTTTGATGATGATGATGCATCACCAGCACAGTTGATGAAGGGAGTAAGAGAGAAATGGATGGAAGGAAGAGAGGAAATGTCCACACAATTGCTGTGGCTGCCAGAAAGAGGCTCATCAAATGGCACTTGGCACAGTGGGCCTCTGCTCCACACAGCTGGTGGAGGAGGGAGAGAATGGGCTTTGACAGCAGGGAGAAAATATGGGAGGGAGGAAGTGAGGGCTGCAGAGGAGAGGTTGCAGGGATGCATGTGCAACCAGCTTGGAGGCATTCAAAACACGGGGCTCTTTTGTACAGGGCAAGGCAAGCGGGGAGATGGCTCTGTGTACAGAGTGTGAGGCAAACTCAAAGGTTTGTGAATATGAAGAGCAGGAGGAGGAAAATATGGAGTGATACTGGCATGGCAGAATAGAGGAAGGGACGAGGGGCGGGGAGTAGGATATGTCATGCCACAGTTCATGTTTTCTCTTATTGGTGGGCAATTATATATATAGTATCAGCATTTCATCTGACTTCCTTATTCAAATAATATGCTTCACACCCGGAAGCTGCACCTTCCTCAGTGTTTTTGTGGATATCTGTGGATGTGAAAACTGAATGAATAAACACATTCTGTAAAATGCTAATATATTTCCTACTTACAAAGTTAAATATCTATGACACAACACTTTGAATCCCCCAGGCAGTGTTGGAGTGTTTTGGAGTGTGAGCACTGCAGAGGCCTGCTGAGTGTGAATGTGTGTGTTTATCTGTGTGATTGAGTCAATCGCTAGAGCACAGTCTAATAGAATAAAGAGACAGCTTAGGCAATCAAAGCAGAGAGGGAATCTTTGCTGGCAGATGCAGCAACAGGATGACCACTCTATTCTAATTTCAAAAAGTCTTTAATTAGTGGCGTCAGAGTTTCTTTCGATCTTTTTCGTTAGAGTAGGGGGAGATGCATTAAGATAGGGTTTTTTAAAAGCTGAATATGTATGACCTTAAGTGCAGGAGTTGAGAGGAGGGGAGCAAGGATAATGGAAAATTGCCTACTGTAATATTGATGCTAAGACTTTGATTTAAGGAAGAACTTTGGATGGGAGTGAGGAAGAAGAGATATAACACTAAGATTTCTCTCACTTGCGTTTATACTTCTCATCCACACATCCCCTCTTAACTTCCATAAGACATCAAGCTTTCATTTACAAAGAAATACAAATCTTCATAATTTGCCCTGTTAATATAACCCTACTCCTATTACAATCGTATACTCCTATCTCTTTCTGGGAAACACCTGCCAGTATGACTGTGTCCTCTATCCTCTATGCTGTGTTTGGATCACACTTCTTGAGTGTTTGGTTACACATTGGACTCTTCCCATTCAAACACTTCTCACAATTAGTGCAACCTCAAGAGTTTAGAAGGGTACACTTGTTCAATGCTTGTTACTTCATGTCCATGATATTACTTTCTAATATTTCATCAGTATTAGGAAAGTTCTAAATACCTACAAAAAACCCAAATGTAGCAAGGCCAGGGATTCTATAGGGAGTGTAAATAATCACTGTGCTATCAGGCATTGGTTGTAATAACTAATTTTGAACACCCTAGCTTGGAGTTTTGGCTTTTTTGTGTTTGTTTTTAAAATGCTGAGTAAGACATGCTTATTTGACACAAATCTATAAATTAACTTTCCTGAACATTTTGTTTTAAGTAACAAATACAGTTCGAAGTAGTCTAATATCCTCATAGTCTTCTACACCAGGGGTTCCCAACCTTTTTCCCGAGAGCCCCCCCAAATGACTCCTGTTNGATGGACATGTTCATGTAGAAACACTCTGGCTGTCACAGGGTGGGCTAACCCAGGAGATTAAGAACCCATAGAGGCTTTAGTGTCAGGAAGAGATCATGTTTTGACATGATCTCTTCCTGACACTAAAGCCTCTATGGGTTCTTAATCTCCTGGGTTAGCCCACCCTGTGACAGCCAGAGTGTTTCTACATGAACATGTCCATCATAAGTGATCGACTAACATCTGACACTCAGTGGTCGTGATGTGTTTGACTCAGAGGGCAGCTTAGGGAAAAGTGATGACCTACAGTAGGGAGGCTTTGTAAGTAAGCACTTCTGCTTACACTTTCCCTTATACACACACACACACACACACACACACACACACACACACACACACACACACACACACACACACACACACACACACACACACACACACACACACACACACACGATCAAATGTACAGAAACACAATGTCAAATTGGGCCTGCAGCTCCAAAACTGTACTATTGACACACTGAAAAACAAGAACTTGCAATAATTGGAAGCATCATTTCAAGATGTTCAGAAGCATTTAATTTACAATAGAAATGAAAAAAAATATATATATAGTTGGTTTAAACCCTTACTTATCTGTCAACACACAGTATACATGGTATATTTAGATATGATAGGATGTATTAACATAATCTTCACACCCTTCCTGATATGTCAGCCATAAAGGGAGAAAATGGTTTCAAGGCTCTTAACTTCCTATTAAGGGAATGTATGGCTGCATGCAGAAAAAGCCACTGCATGCTTAATAGTTCACACACTCCAGGTGCATCTTTGTCACTCTGCCAGAATGATGATGGTTTGCTTAAGAATAAGTTGTTTGACTGTTTGTAAATATTCATATGAAATGTTCTATTAAGAAGGTGCTGCTATGTACTCCGCGAGTGAGGAATATTCTAGTGTTAATTGCAGATGGTGGGTAAACAACAAACAAATATGCAACAGTAGGCTGAACCAGACATCTAAAAGTTAAGCAGAACCACAGCATTACACATCACCGTCTCCCACCTGGACAACAACAGCACTTATGTTCATCAACTTCAGTTCATGATTCAACATCTAGTTCCCCTTCAATCTGATCACCAAAGTTGTTGACCTTGGCATCACAACACCACTTTGTATCTGGATACTGGACTTTCTAATTACAGACAGGTAGGTAAGACAAACACATTTCATAAACCCTTACCCTGAATGGATTAGTCAGCAGGGTAGCTGAGCATTAACCTTGTGTTTTCAAATAGTATTCCATACACAATACAAAAGGACGTATTATTTAGTATAGTAACTGTTTAACATAATTCACTCTGTGGTTGTCTAGTAATGACTTATTTTGTCCTGGTCAATCAATGTTATGCAAATGTAATGAAATATTGCAAAGCTGATGAATAAGTAAATTGTGGAAATTGTAATTAGCCATTTACACTCTTGACTTTGCCCTGTGGCGTTCACACTCTGCCAAGTCACCGGCACACAAACCAAACAATGAGCTGACCAGTGAGCGCCTGGCAGGGCTGGAGCCGCTGCCTGCCGTAGTCTCATGTGTCCACCCTGGCATGACCAGGTTTCCACCAACCATCAGACAGAAAGGCTTCTCAGATGCCCAACACAAATTGCCACCTGCCACCTGCCCTATTATCCTGTGTGCAGGCCTCCCTCCACACCCGCAGCCAGATGCTGAACAAAGACCCCTACACGACTGCAGCAAATACACAAATCACTTGTATGGTGTGGATAATTATTTCAACATATGCAAAGAGCTCTTCACAACTGAGGGATGGCACATCGTACAGCATTATTCAAAATGAATCTCAGTTCCTGAGCCTGGTCTATAACAGACATAGTGGGATAATATTTTTGTAAATAAAGCAATGTTCTTTATATTAGAGGTTGCTGACATCTTAGCCAGTAATAACAGTTTTGCACTTTTTCAATCAATGATTCCTGGAGTTTACATTTGCAACTGGTCATGTATGTCAGTGCAGAGAGCATGCCAATACCTGAAGCTGAAAGGTAGAAGAAAAAAGATCCTGATTAGCATGAAATTGGGCCATGCTAAAAGCCTTGGGCCCTGGAAAAACGCCAAGTTGGGAGCTGGTAGCCATTTAAAAAGGGACACCCCATCCATTTTTCAAAGTGGAGCAGGCCACACTTTTTGTGTTTTCCAGTGACAAGCAAAATATAAATCAATGTGTCTGGGGCAGCGTGGAAGCCTGATGCGTTAATGTGGAATCGATAACTAATGTCAAAGTCATTTTTCCTCATATTCCAACCTATAGTCGCAAGGAGAAGGCAAGAGCTGGTGTGCACCACTGGGGAGTGGCTGAGGGTCATTGGGCTGAATGAGAAAGAAGAGTGCAGAGGGCATTCTGGGATGCCTTGCAACATATATACATATATAAACTACTGCAGCCCAATGTTGAGATGACCCTCGGGTGGTAAATGGTCATATTCCAATAACAATGGAAGGTACTTTTTTTTGTATTGTGATACTTAAGATGAAAGAAATGAAAACTATCATAAGAAAGCATTATGAGATAAATGTAGTCTTATCTCTACCTTTTTTGGGGGTCAAAGTTGTTAAGAACACTTGAAAATAAATTCCAGTCAACAACAAATAGAGATCATGTAAACACATTACACAGTCAGACAAGTATGTGTGTGCTGTCATAAGATGTATGAGGAGAGCATAAAAAGAATAAAACATAATGATCATCACAAATAAGTTGGCAAAATGTATGAAGCATGACACTATGGGCAGCACAAATCCCTGTGGAGGCTTCTTATAAAACCCAACTCAGTAATAATTCCCCAGTACTTAAATATGTATGGGCCAGCGCCTACAATCCACCACCTCTTTTATTA